GCAGCAGCGCGCGGGTGCCAGCGCCGGGCTCTTCCTCTCCCTGGGCCGCGGTCCCCCGGTCGGGCCGAGGGGGAGGAAACTGGGCTCTGACTCTGCGAGTGGAGCCCGGGCTGGCTGCCTCGGGGTTCCAGCCTCTCTTTTTGTTGTTGTTGTTTTCCAAGTCCCCTTCCTTTCTCTTCCCGGGGTGGGGGTGCGGGGGGGGACGCCCAGATACCCATTTTTATGGTGAACACCAAGCCGCTTCTGAATGCTGTTCACCCGAGTGTTTCCACTCCACCCTGGTGCGCCGAGCGCGTCGGGGTTTCTGTCGAGGCTCCAGCGCGTCTCACTTCTGGCGGGCTCGCGGGTGTGAGTGTGAGTGTGAGTGTGAGAGTGTGTGTGTGTGTGTGTGAGTGAGTGTGTGTGTGAGCGCACAGGCAGGGGGCTGACCGCCGGCAACTTGGAGACTTCGGCCGGGGCCCGAGACGGCGGGTAGGAGTGGGCGTGTCTGGGGAGAACGCAACAGGTCTTGGCACGTTTCTCTTTAACCTCGCACCCCCACCCCCCACCCCCAAGCTGGGGTTTGGCGCTTGGCAGTATTTCCTGCCTGGCTTTTATAAGTGACCCTTTTTCAAAGAGACCCTTCCTGGCCGTCATCATTTTCTGGTGCGATTTTTTTGACAAGTCGCGCGTTTGACGTTTGGGTGGCAGGCTCGATCACGGCGCCTCGCGCTGCCCCTGAAGACCCCCTTGGCATGGTTCATTGAGGTGTCGGTTATTTGCCACGTAAACTGGGGGATACAGCCCTGGGAAGAAGGGATCGTTTTCGTTTTATGAGGCATTGTTTTGGTTTAGAGTTGGAAGGCAGCTGTCAAAACGGCGTGGAAATTCATTAGGTTCCACTTGATGCCTAGTGTTTAAAGATCGTTATCAGATAAGGGGGGGAGCGATACGCAGTTTACCGTCAAGGTTTGTAGGGACAGATTCCACCCTTTTACCTCCATCGCACTCCATTTTCAGTGAGGGCCAGTGAAGTTTGTTTTTTAAAGTCTCTGTACAGGACAAGTTTCCTTTCATTTGGGTGAGATTTGACTATCATGTCGCAAATATGCTTATCAAAGTCTTTGCCGGTTTTTACAAAACATCCTGATTATTAATATACCAGCAACCTAAGCGTCTTGAGAATAGGCTGAGAGTTGTCATAGGTGACGGTTTAGAATGCAGAGGAAATTATTCCCAGCATTTTACAGGATGTTTTTTTTCCCCGCATGGATTTACACGAATATGATTTTAGAGTTCTGGATTTTTCTCTTGTTCAGTAGTTAAAAATTTGGAAAGGAAACGTCTTTTAGAAATATATTGTTTGATACTGAGGGTGTTAAGCAGTTTTAAAGAAATGTAGCGTCCTCTATATTTTATTGTCTTGTACGGATTGAGAGGCACTGCATTTGTTATATTTAAATAAGCTAAAGTTGTAGTGAAAAGCTATATTCTCTTCTGCTTTTTAAAATCTAAATTTTAGTTTGCCTTTATACAATGTATTTCATTTAGTATGTCCAGAATTTGAAGGCAGGCACTGTTCAACAGGTACATTCAATAAGAAATATGAGTTAAAAATAAAAGCCTATTCCTAGCCTATTGGAAGATAAGCAGAATCATCATTGTTTATTTTTCAGATGAAATGTGCATGATTTACTAGGAGGTTGTACTAAAGGTTTGAATGTATGACTAGCTAGCTAGTAGGAGGGGAATTGGGGAATAATCAGATAAAGAATTCTAGCATAGTACTTATCAAATTTTATGTGTATTGATTCTCAGAAAAGCCTTGATTGAAAAGAGGCAGGAATTTTAATGATCATAGTTCCTTTTTTAATTAAATACTTTGGCGGCAACGCTAACCTTTAGAACAATCAGATGTAATGAATTATAATGTCTATAATTAACAAAGTTACAGTTCTGTGAGTGTCAGGATTAATAGCCAAGCTTAGTTTGATACAATTTTGTTCTCAGCCATGCAAATGGGCTGTATTGTGCTTTTACATGTGGCACACTGAATGGGAGCAGGGGACATGCATGGCTTCTTTATTCTGGATGACGGAAACTACTCTTCTGGTAACGAGGAATTAGATTCAGAGTTAACTAAAAGGTTCATTTAACAAGCTCTTACTAATCGGATCACAGAGATAATGTGCTTTCTTAGCTTATTATGTTTCCCCCCCTCTCTCTTTTTTGTAGCTGATATTTATTGATGGACTCAAAGGAATCCTTAGGCTCCCCCAGTAGAGAAGAAATCCCCAGCAGTGAGCTGGTTGGGGAGAGGGGAAAAGTGATGGACTTCTACAAAACCCTAAGGGGAGGAGCTACTGTGAAGGTTTCTGCATCTCCACCCTCACTGGCTGCTGCTCCTCTGTCAGACTCCAAGCAGCTACGACTTTTGGTTGATTTTCCAAAAGGCTCAGGAAGCAATGCGCAGCAGCCAGATCTGTCCCAGGCAGTTTCACTCTCAATGGGACTGTATATGGGAGAGACAGAAACAAAAGTGATGGGAAATGACCTGGGATTCCCACAACCGGGCCAAATCAGCCTTTCCTCTGGGGAGACAGACTTTCGGCTTCTGGAAGAAAGCATCGCAAACCTCAGTAAGTCGACCAGTGTTCCAGAGAATCCCAAGAGTTCAGCGTCTGCTACTGTTTCGGTTGCCCCCGAAGAGGAGTTTTCAAAAACACACACGGATGCGTCTTCAGAACAGCAGAATTTGAAGAGCCAGACCGGCACCAACGGTGGCAATGTGAAGTTGTATACCGCAGACCAAAGAGCCTTCGACATTTTGCAGGATTTGGAGTTTCCTTCTGGGTCCCCAGGTAAAGAGATGAATGAGAGCCCTTGGAGACCAGACCTCTTGATAGATGAAAACTGTTTGCTTTCTCCTTTGGGAGGAGAGGAGGATCCATTCCTTTTGGAAGGAAACTCCAATGAGGACTGTAAGCCTCTCGTTTTACCAGATACTAAACCTAAAATTAAGGATAATGGAGATCTGATCTTACCAAGCCCCAGCAGTGTGACACTGCCCCAAGTGAAAACAGAAAAAGAAGAAGATTTCATCGAACTCTGCACTCCTGGAGTAATTAAGCAGGAGAGACTGGGCCCAGTTTACTGTCAGGAAAGTTTTTCTGGGGCAAATATAATTGGTAATAAAATGTCTGCCATTTCTGTTCACGGTGTGAGTACCTCTGGGGGACAGATGTACCACTATGACATGAATACAGCATCCCTTTCTCAACAGCAGGATCAGAAACCTGTTTTTAATGTCATTCCACCAATCCCTGTTGGTTCAGAAAATTGGAATAGGTGCCCAGGATCTGGAGATGACAACTTGACTTCCTTGGGAACTTTGAACTTCCCCGGGCGATCGGTTTTTTCTAACGGCTATTCAAGGTAAGATTGGTTTTCTATTTCTTAAGTCTGAGACAGATTGGTAGATTTAAATGTTCATTTGTTTGTATGATTCTCCAGCAATTAATGTGCTTCTTCATGTGAATAAGTTTAAGGAGTTTTTTAAAAGTAGACATGGTAGACAGCCTAAGTGGTATTTCTATACATAACCTTTTCAAGTTTTTGTCTGAATATTGGCATTCAATATCCCATTGGCCAATGGTTGAAAATTTTATTTAAAAAAATACTGCTCACTGACAGGTACCTTAAGTAAAAATTGTGTAAGTTCAAGGGGTTTTAATGTTTGCAGATACAGCATGTTCATTGTGCATGTTCATTTAAGCTGGTTAGAATATGCTAACATTACAATGAAAAGAACCCTTTATACTTTACATAACCAAGAGTTGTGCTGCTGTATTTGCACACTTGTGAAATGTAACGTGCGATTAAAGGGTTAAAAATTAGAAGTACTAACAATAAGTCAAAGCAATGCAGTGAACAGTGTATGGGACCATAGTATTAGGCATAGGGCTTGCTTATGAGGTTCCTGACCTAAAGTAGCCAAGTCTTGTTTGCTGATCAGTCTCTTTAAGAAAGGAATTGGTGGCAACATAGTGCAAAACAAAATTTTACTTTCAAATGTTCCCACAAGTTCTTAAGTAGAAACCGATGGCCAATATTGTTAAGCTTCAATTCTCAACGTCATTTGATGCTTTTCTTTGTTTCTTTTTTCTCAGTCATTTATAAGTGTACTGACATTTCTGTTTGACATCAAAAGGATCTGTTAAAATGGAATTACTGGGGAAAAGTTCTCAATTTAGATGTATCTGTTGGTAGTTCTGTGTCTGCACCCCATCCCCAATTCAGATAAATACTGGGTTGTATATCACATTTTGGGTGTGAAGGAAAATATTTAAAAATGTGATTGTAGAGACAATCAGTGGTGGTTGTTTTTTTTAAAGGCATAGTGGACACAGCAATTTATTTGTACATAAGCATTTCATATCTTTTCTTAAATGTTAGGGATAGTCATTGTTCCCATTAACTAATCACTGGAGATTTTATTTAAAATTTCCTTTAAAATACTTTTTCTGTTAAAGGGATGTCCTAATAGAGGTGTCTCTTCTTCCTCTCAAGTAAAAATTGTATAAGTTCAATGAATACAGCATTAAATAGGAAGCTTTTCTTGTTGGGGAAGAATATTACACTTAGATTTAGGCTATATTTTATTCCTTTAAAAGGCTTAGTTGTTTCTCATCAGAAAAATAGCACCTTGGTTCTTGTGTGTCTAAATGTAAACAACCTACTACTAGTCTATTATTTAAATAATAATTACCTTCATATAAAAGAACACTACTCCAACTTTGAATTGCTGTCATTCTGAATGGAGGTTGAAAATGTTTTCAGTAAAGAAATTTGAGATGTTTCTTATCACATAAACTATTCTGTTTAAATGTTAGAAGACATGCTGTGTTTTAAATTTTTTAATCTCAAATTTTTGGCATTGGAATTCATGGTTGAATGTGCCTGGTTGATTTGACTAAGCTATCTGTAGGAAGCTATCTGTAAGAAGTTATTAATTGTACAAAGTAAAATAATATATTCTAGGAAACTTGGAGGTTATTAATGCATTTTGGTCTGATAATTACCAAGGTATTGTTACTGTTTTCCTTATTATAAAAAAGGCATGGAATAAGGTTATTTTCCATTTACAATGAACTTTTGTTAAGCCCCATAAAATCTGGGATCTGGAGCATAAGTCAGGTGAACATAGTTACCCATAGATCATTATAATACCTTTTATAGTAATTTATGACATGTAAAGAAAGTACCTTCATATTTTTAATTTGAGCCTCATAGCAACCTTTGATGATGTGGCTCACAACCAGTAGTGTGTGTCCTAGTGAAAGGTGTAATATTTTGTAGATAATTATTTGGTAATGTTTGAAAATTTTATACCTTTTGGCATTGACATTGGGAATTATGATTACCCAGAACAAAGCTTCTTCCAAATAAATTGAAACAATGTTTCTTTTCTAACCAACATTGAATTACTCTATTGTTTCCAAACAACAACCCTGATATAAACTAAAATTGGTTGCTTTCTCCTCTCTGTATGCTACTTGGTTCTCGCCAAACATTAGGTATGACCATGACCCTGAATGATTAGCAGATAAATCAATATGTTGAGACCACAACTGTATTGAGTATAGACTTTCTGATTTTTGATATAAAAATATTAAATGCTGCCGTAACTGGTTTGGCTCAGTGGATAGAGCGTCGGCCTATGGACTGAAAGGTCCCAGGTTCGATTCCGGCCAAGGGCATGTACCTTGGTTGCGGGCACATCCCCAGTAGGGGGTGTGCAGGAGGCAGCTGATTGATGTTTCTCTCTCATCGATGTTTCTAACTCTCTATCCCTCTCCCCTCCTCTCTGTAAAAAATCAATAAAATATATTTAAAAAAATATTAAATGCTAATAACTTCACTTGCATTCCTTTTACATAAAAAGAAATCATAATTTGACTTTTTAAGATGACACCTAAAATTGCTTTTTCTCAGAAAGCTTAGAAAAAATTCACACTGTTTTGAGGGGAAAGGTAGTTCCTTTTTTTAACTTTTTTTTTAAAGAATATGTTTTTATTGATTTTAGAGAGAGAGAAGGCGAGAGAGAGAGAGTGAGAAAAAAATCAACTGGCTGCCTCCTGCATGCCCCCTACTGGGGATCGAGCCCCCAACCCCTGCAGGAATGGGAATCCGAGGATGACCTCTTGATACAGGGGATGATACTCAACCAGCTGAGCTATACCATCTCAGTTTGGCGGAAGGTAGTTCCTTCTGATGTGTAAACATAGCACAGTTTCCAATTACCACATTAAATTGTAAAATTATGAATGTTGGGATTGAATATAGTCAAGTTAGAAGTTCATTGATAGTAAAACAAGAGAAATCTTATTGATGTTCATATACATTCGTTAAGTAAAATGAACTAGCCATTATAACTTAATATGCTTTTAAAATACTGAAATTCAATAAATTTAGCATAAAGTTGTAACACCGATGAAGGCACATTTCTGCATAATTCGATTTTCAGCATTGTTTCACTTTAGCATTAAGGGTGAAACTGCTGAAAAGGGTCGCAGAGAAGTAAATGGTTACAGGTGGCATTAGAGCTTTTATTGTGATTGTGTTGAAACTTTGGTGTTAAAAGTTTCTGAAGCATAAGATTATTGGAGAGAAAGAAGGATGTAAGATGAATTTGTAAACTCAGTCTTAGGGTTCAGGGCTCTGATGATTAGCACCTAATGAAGCTACAAAAATTTGTCTATTTTAACCTTTCTCATTAATTACATGTGTGTCTAATTTTATTAAGATAATGAAAGTGAAGACCTATACAAACACAGGATGAGTGGAGCAAATTCTGTCCCTTGCTCGTTTTTATTATTAACATTGTAGAGAATGTTTCCTCAGAAGTAGAGGAGGCATAAGGAAATGTTTTGTTTTGATTTTATTTATCCCCTTTTTAGTCGATACTTCTTTACACTCTTCCTCTCCCCACTCTCATCCCCTTCCATAGGTTCTGGCAATTAGTCTTTCAGTGTCTTTTTAAAATCTTAATATTTCTAATATTCACTCATATAAAACGATTGCTGAATGTTAAAGGAGATTTGCTTTTGTTTATTTATTTTCAGCTTTATGGTAAGAATCTTTTTTTAAGCCCTGTATTTTGTTATGGCTGTATTAGTAAAAGATTAATAAAGGTAACTCACACTGTGTACTGAGGTGTATCAATTTAGTGTGGAATGATTACAGAAATGTGTGACTAACGTGTGGTCAGAGTTTATTGAAATTATTTCTGGTGATGTTTCTTTGGCTAAGCCGTGATGTTTTTGTAATTGATAACATGATTTTTATTATAATGCTGTTTTGGTTTTGTCTGTTGGTGTTGCAAATATTTTAGTTAGTCTGACCACTTTCAGTATATTATTGAATGTCTATAAATTTTATGACTTATTCTGAAATACACTTTGCATAAATGTAGGTTAAATGCAAATTGTGTTAATAGTGGAATTCATATGTGGGTAGAGATCACTGTCGGGGCCTTTTGAGATTTTAGAGATTGGATCAAAAGGATTTATTTTAGTGTGAGTGCCTGATGTGAAAGAGCATCTGTATTAATTGGTTGGTTATATAAGGCTTATCCACTCTGGACTGTAGGTGATTAAAATAGCCTAGTTGTTAGAAAATCTTAATTTACATTGGGTTTAAAATAAGTCTGGGGCATATTTCTTAAAACACATTTTTTCTTACTTTAAAGATCGTACCAAATTTTAATTAGCAGTGAGTTCTCATTGTATACTACTATTTAAGTGAACAAATTAAATTGGAAAAACAGGTTTGTGCTTTTATTCTTCTAAGGACATCCTGATAGTTGTGTAATGCAGTATTTATAGGTATTTGCCAAATTAAAGGGCACTTGCTTCCATATTTCTGAGTCATGGAAAAAAGATATATATTTATTTGAATTGTGTTGCAAAAGAATTTTTAAGAAAAATTTGTTGAATTAAGCTATAACTGAAAAAAATCAATTCCCTATTAACCTTTACAGAAGGGTTTAAAAGCCTATGCTCTCCTTATTTTTGTAGTTTCACAGAGCCAACTGTTCTCTCTCTCTCTCTTTTTTCTGGTTTATTCTACGTGGACTTTGTATTTTTCAAGTAAATAAAAATATTCCTGTGGAGGACTTTCATTAAAGAAAAGATCCATTAGTGCCCCGCCCTTTTTAAATATATTTTCATTGATTTCAGAGAGGAAGGGAGAGGGAGAGAGAGATAAAGAGATAGAAACATCAATGATGATAGAGAAACATGGAGAAGCTGCCTCCTACTGGAGATTGAGCCCACAACTGGGCATGTGCCCTTGACCAGACTCAAACCCGAGTCTGCAGGCCAATGTTCTATCCACTGAGCCAAACCAGCTAGGGCTCCTTTCCCTTTGAATTG